ACAGTTTTGCTATGTGTCGAAACGATACATGACGCCTCATATACCCATCAATACAGTTCTGGTTTGGCCGCCATCTTTGTTTCTGTACCAACGGCTCCGCTTAATCAGCGGCCTCTGCTGGATGGCGGCCAAACTACAACACTAAAAAAAGGTCTAAGCGACCGTTATTAGTGAACTCATTGGTAAAGACTTTAATCCAATAAATCATAAATCGACAGCTGTTGACAGTATGTTGATTAATTGTTTGTTTCCCTACTTAATGTGAGCTGTTCTGGTTGGGTTCTGAGTTTGAGTGATGGGTGTTTTATGGATCATTAGTTCCTATCAAAGATGTAGGCTAACTCCTGGCAAGTTTGGATTTAAAAACAAAAAGAGAAGATGTTAATTCTTTTTTTTTCAAGAAAGTACACATTTTCTATGTATGTTCTACAAAAGTAAATTATTATGATGATTTGGTCAAAATCAAATTACCTGAGTACCTTTCCGGAGAAGACGAAATAGTAAATATAAATGAACACAATGAAGCTATTTTTATTTATTAGAAGGTGAAAGAAACAACAAATTATGGAAAAAAACATACAATTATTAACCATTCTGCTATCTTGTCTGGTATTTGACATGAATATTTAATTAATGTGCCTGATGTACCATTCAGTTAGTAACTTTTATTGGCTTCACATGACATTATGTTATAATAATGGTAGTAAATTTTATTTGACTTGTTTTAGAATAAAACTAATGACTTTTTCTTTTTCTTTTTTCAGGAAAAGGGGAATAGAAGTTGTGCAGGTACGTGATCCCTACCTTTTTGTTCAACTTTTATTTTTTTTGTATGACTTAATTGATGATTTTACTCTGTTGTGTGTTGTATAAGCAGCTTCGTATGACATGGAGCGTATTAATCTGTTAATATATCAATTTTTCAAACTGTTGACAGATTATCACCACTAATATTGGTGTTGAAAGGGCAAATGCTCTTTATCTCCTAAATATTCTGCAGTAATTAGATTCTGGTAAACTGAGGGAAGTAAAGAATGAAGTTATGAATGATTAACTGAACACATCAGCCAGTCTGCAGCCGAGGAGGAACCCCGACTCTTATCTTCATTCTTTTCTTCTGGAGGGAGTTTGGAGTTTCCTACGTTGTTTTCATCCCTTCCTGAAAGTTATTTTCTTCTTCTCGCTGTCGCGATTACATAAAAAGACTCAACAAAATTTGTGTTCTGGGAACTGTCCCAAAGTAAAAGGTGCTTTGTTTCCAAGTCTCTTCTGGGAGACAGCGGGTCCGAAACGTGGACAATGGGAGACTGACGTTTAATCCACCTGTTGTCCACTGAATCTATTGTCTTTACTAAAGATCTGCAACCTGCAGCCCTCCTGGCCTTCCATATGTAATAAAGAATTAACAAACGTTTAACAATATAAATGTAGTTAAAAAATGCAGTTTAGCCGTTATTAATTTTTTAAATTGCATATCCGCAAAAGAATGAAACCAGAAAGTAGCAGAAATTTTTGTAGATCTATTTTACTACTTATTAGAAAACGTGCTTTTTAAAAAAAAAAATTGTACAGAACTGAAGTGATTAATTAGATTAATCGTGATTAATCGATTGTTGAAATAACCATCAACTAATAAAGTAATCGATTAATCATTAACGGCAGACTCTGTTTAGTGAAAAAAAGCTGAAAGTACAACATATCCAGTGCAGCAATTAATCCAAAACTGTAAAAAAATAAATATACATTTTGCTCTTAAGAGAAAAAACAATTTTGTCTGTAAATATGTTTATATGTAAATATGTTTTACTCAGGTGGGATAGTTTTAGCTTCACCTGGTTCAAATTCTGTAAAGAAAAACTCGCACGAAGAACCTTTAGCTACTGAATTATCAATCGGTATTAGAAAAAAAATAGACAACAGATCAGCGCTAAGCAGAAAGGACGAATATTAGAAGCATTTTTTAGTTGCAAATGCATCTTTTGCTATAAATGATCATGTGTTCACTAAAGAAATGCTGTTTTATTTCATTTTAGGCAATTAAATGTTAATTTTCTTATTTAAAAATTTTATTTATGTGCATATTTAAAGTATTTTTAATATTGTATAAAATAGTGTTAAGTGGTTAAAATTTATTTTAAAAATCGATTAATCTTTAGTGAAATAATCGTTAGTATCACAGGTATTTCTAAAAGAACTAAATATTTACTGTGGTGTTTTTTTCATGACTATTTGTCTAAATAAAACTTCTAGTTTAAATAACACAAAGCTTATAAATAAGATGTGTCTTTGCCTCGATTCGTCAGGCCTGAAGTTTTGTGTGTCAGAAACGTTTCCTGACAGAGAGAGTTTGGGTCGCTGCCGGGTTAGTGGGGTAAGAGCAGGATGTTTACTGCAGATAAAACCCATTTCTGTTTTGCTCATTCGCCGTTCATTTGAAGCTTTAAAGACGGCCGGTTTCAACGCTGCTGCGTTGACAGCCTTCAGAGGAAGCTGGTAGGAGATGATTTGTCTCTTTCAGTCTAATCAGCTGGCCTTGTCCCTGGAGAGAGACAGAGCAGCTGACCCTGGCGGTGACAGCTCGACCCTGGAACGATAAGCAAACCCTGGAAAAATAAATCCTTAAAGCAGCTCGTTTACCATCTTCATGTTTGGTTTTAGCCTAATAAAACATAATAAACACGGTTTGTTGGTTTTAGACTGTTTTTGCGCTGCTAATTTAATCGACGAATGAAGAAAATAATCGTCAGCAGAGTCAGAAATAAACCAAAAAAATTTGATTGAATCAGGAAGGGAATGATTTGCACTTGAGATAATTTACTCTCATTTGTTAATATTAACCAGGACTGCAACTAATATTTATTTTAGTAGTCAATTATTCTGATGATTAATCAGTTTAATCTCAGTAAAAGATTTTCATTAAACCCTTAAGCTCATTCTATACTAATGCTAGAAATACTTTTAAAACATACTTTTCAAATGTATTTCTAATATTAGCATAATTTTCTTTTTTTTAAATAAGAAAATAAACATTTTATTGCCTAAACAACATATCATTCGTATAGTGAATGCTTAATCATTTGTAGCATCTGCAGCTACAAAAAAGAAAAATACTTTGTCATTAATTTGTGAAAAGTTCAGCCCTGTTTGCTTGACTTAAACATCAACACAGTCGCTAATCTGTTGAATTTTTTGGATTAAGCAACTAATAATTGGATAGAATTTTTTTATTTTTTATTTTTTACAGAATTTGAACAAGTTGAAACTGAAACTTTACAACTTGAGGACTTCTGGGAATAACATATTTACAAACAAAGGTGTTTTTTTTATCTTAAATGCAAAATGTGTATGTATTTGGTACAGTTTTGGCTTAATTACTGCTCTGATTATGTTGTTTTTTCATTAAGTGGTCTTTTTTTGACCCTGTTAACGATTAAATTAGTTGACGATTATTTAAATGATCAATTAATCACAATTAATCGTTTCAGCAGAGATCTCCAGTTATTTTTGACTGTCTCCATGTGTGCAGATGGTTTCAGATCTGTTCTCTGTAAAACAATTTACTGGCAAAGGTTTCTTCATCCTGAATTAAAACTGCATATGTGTTTTGTATAAGTTTGGCTTAATTACTGCTCTGAGTATGTTGTTTTTTCAGCAAATGGCCTTTTTTGAGGCTGTATACTCCAGTTAATGAGTGATCAATTACTAAATTAGATGCCTATTATTTCAGTAATCAAAATGATTAATCTGATTAATCGTTTCAGTCCCAGTATTATCCAGTAGGTTTTATTGCTCCGGGGTGTTGGTTGTGGTTATGGTCTCACCCTGTCTTTGCCAAATCTGGCTTCCCCGGGGATCTCATTTTGTGTTTCCATTTCGAGTGTGGGAAAGCCGTCCACTTTGATCCCCTCAGGACCGACACAGATAGAAACAAAAAAACAAAAAAGGTTCTGGACGACTATCCGAAACACTCAGATCTTCCTGTTGCGTCCTACTTGTGTTTGCGTCCCGTTATTGCTGCCCCTGCAGCTCCTGAGCGCGTGGATCCATCCGTCATCTGCACATCAGCTGGTCGGTATGTCAGAGCTGATGAGATTAACTTTGATCCGATATTCACTCACAGAGAGAGGATTCTGTTGTTTCAGTCTGAGGAAACTCATTGAGTTGGCCTCTATCATTACTCTAAGTGTTTAGAAAAGCATGGAGGCTGAAAAACAAAGTCTCAGGAGTCTGTCAGGTTTAACAGTGATGATCTAGGACCGCGTTAGGCTTCATGTGGGTGGGTTCTGGCTTCTGAGAGGTTTTTTTTTGGTGAGAATCAGGTGATTAATGACATTTATCACTAGGACTTCATCATATATTGAATTGCGGTATTGATGTCTCCATCACTGGCAAACAAAAGAATTCAAGAATAGAAAATACTGCAGGAATACAACAATAATAATAATAATGGCCTACAATGCCATGTAGGCCTGTCGCAATAAGCAATAAAGTAATTAATTGCATGATGAATGTTCATTTGCATGATTTATTATTTTTCCTTTTCCTCTCTTTCTATGAAAAACTGGATGATAAAAGTCTTCATTCTGGTGCTTTGGTCTCATCTTGCCCTTTTTTGTAGGACACTTTTGTTTACAGAGACTTCATGATTAATTTGATTTGTTTTGTTTATTTACTTTGAATATTTAAAAATGTCTTCCAGGTCGAGTGTTAAATGTTAATTAGAATTTAAAATTTATTGATCTTTAAGAATGTTGTCTTGCATTTTTATTTCATTACCTTTAAGTTACTTTAAAATGATCTCAAAACAACATTATTATCATTTATCGCAATAACTTCTGGGACAAGTTACCGTCCAACAGAATTTGTTACCGTTACAGGCATAGTGCCATGCATGCAAATTTTGAAAGCAAATGATTAACTTTATTAGTTATTATTAGGGATATACAGATATGAACATTTGAACCAATATCTGATATTAATTGTGCTGACATGGTCGATAACTGATATTTACCAATCTGATATACTGTATTTCCAGACTATAAATCAATTTTTTCATAGCTATGCTGGTCCTGTAGCTAATAGTTCATAGCGAATGCATTTTTTGTCTGATTGTATTCACACCAGCCTTGTTTAATCCACTTTAATCAAACTCCAGTTCGTTTGCCTAGAAAGTCCAGTTTGTTTGTGGAGGTGTGAATGTGTAATAAAACTGATGTGGACCAAAAAAAGCAAACTGTGGTCCACCTGAAAACCTCGGTTTGGTTGAAGTGAACTCTGGTGTGGTTTGAATGCATATGTAGATGCAAGCGGACCAGAGATCACTACAAAAGCAGGAAGTGGACCATAATGCAAGGCATTCTGGGTAAATGCAACCAAAACAAACGTGAGAGTCTGGAGTAAGTGGGAGAAATGTTTTGTGGCCTTTTACTAAAAATAAAAGAGAAATCCTGCAACCTCTAAAATCTGACACCACTCCATTTCTGTTTACATTTTGTGAAGAAGGAAGTTGTTCTGTGGCATGCAGCCTTACTCATCACTCTGCACAGTGAGTCACTAAAACACTTCAGGCCTGGTTTGTTGTGGATTTAAACCCAGTGGAGCAGAACCTTCTCCCTATAACATTTAGATGATAACATTGTTCGCTTGTGGAGCATCAGAGCTCACTTTAACCTGCTACTGATCCAGTTTTTTACTCTGAGCTTCATCACCATCACAGAGCGCAGTCTTCTTCCTGCTGGACTCTGGAGTATTGAAGAGATCCCATTAGCCTAATGAGATCCCAGCCCAACCTTCCTGGAGGATTTATGGTTTCAGGGGAAATCCTTCATGCCGGTCTCATGTTCTCATATTTCCTCCAGACTCTAAAACCTTGATTTTCAAATTGAATGTAAACTTTATTTTTATCTGAGAAGAACAGTTTGGACCACTTAGCACCAGTCCAGTCAGACGTCTTTGTTGTGGTTTTCCTAGAAGCTGAATTTTGAGTTTTCATTTGCTTCAAACCAGAATCATAAAAAATAAACAGAGATAAACAAATTTGTCACTATAGCATTGGTGGGCTCCACTAACTAAAAATTAGTTGCACTAATCATAAACATTAGTTCTGCTAAAGCACTACACCAACACAGTATTTAGGAGAAGCTAAATTACTATAGCTATATGGTTTTTACAGAGGCTAATGCTAAAACGCTACACCAACACAATATTTGTCGGAAGCTAATGCTAAAGCACTATTTTCAATTCAAATCATATTTTCCTTCAAAGACTACAACTCTTTATCAGCAGTTTAGTTTTGTATTTTATAATTTACGTGTTCTGTTATGCTCTTAGATATTGTACAGTGATCCCTCGCTATAACGCGGTTCACCTTTCGTGGTTTCGCTGCTTCGCGGATTTTTTTGTGCAGTTTTTTTCACAGTGCATTGTGTTCTGCGTCCTGATTGGCTAAAATATGTGTAATATAGATTGGCCACTCAGGAGATGGAAACTGAAACTCTGAATGCCTGCTGAACAAAACTGTGGCCAGAGGCTCTGCTGTAAAACAGCTGTGAATCTGGCAAAGCAGCTTGGAGGAGACGCTTTAATGACACGACTCTGGATCACATTAATGCCGTGATTGATGAACACGCACATCCGCTGACCTGAAAACAGGTTTTGTTCTTTGTTTTCCATGTAGAGTTTTTAATTATGCTTCGCGTATTTCACTTATCGCGGGTTATTTTCGGAATGCAACCCCCGCGAAAAACGAGGGATCACTGTATTTATGTTTATTTCTTCTTGAAGGTGTCTGTTGCCTCATTCCACACACAAAATAAATGGTTCATCAGATTGTTTTAGCAACCAGAAAAAGCTCAGTGGTGCTAGCTTGATGAGGTCTGGAAAGGTTGTGGTCTTCCTCTCTGGGCACAGCTCAGCCCCACAACGGCTTTTCATCAAAACTGGAAATATATTGAGCCCTGACCTCCCCTCTCCCACCACCATTTGCCTGTTTTCTGTTCTGTCCATCAGAACTAAGGCCCAGCTCTGCTTTTTAGTCCCACTGGGACTCGCTAAGACGTCATCGGACGTTTCTGCTTTCAGCATTTAGCCGGACTTTTCTGCTGAGCTTCAGCATGAACTCTAAAGCGAGGTCAATTTGTCTACAAAATGTGTCTGCGAGCGGGTGATGACCCCCTCCCCACTGCTGCACAGTCCTGTTTTTATGGAGAGGCCCGACCCTGGACGGGCCCTCTGTGTTGTGTAAGCGGGAGATTAAAAGCCGTGCCTCGGCGGAATTAGAGATTCGGGTCCAGCAGGCCTCATCACGCTGACATTGCTGGCTAAACAGAAAGCAAAAGCACGTCACAGCAAGTCGTCACCGCTGCTCCGAAACAGCTAGCCTCCGACACCCCAGAACAGATTCCCAATGGTTTCCAGGAGCAGAAAGGAAATTAAATGGCTTCTTTTAAAGCAGGCTAACTTTTGGTCCCAACAAACTCAATAAGTTGTTTACATTCCTGCTTTATTTGCAGTTTTACTTGTAGATAATATTTTATTTATTTTATGCACAAATATTCTGGCATATATTTCTAATTATCACCTACAATAGAAAGATAAAAAAATATAGAAAACAAAACTACTCAGTTGTGTTTCCTCTAGAAATTCAACTACCAATTATTTTAGTAATCAATTCTCACAATTAATTGATTAATCAGATAATTTCTTTAAACATTCTGCAGGTTTTTCATGAAAATATTAGAAAAACATTAAAAGATGCAAGTAAATAAATTATTTTTTTTACATAAGAAAATCATTTTATTGCTTCAAATGCAATAACGGCATTCTTTTACTGAACGCTTAATCATTCAGCTGCAGTTATAAAATACTTTTAACATCAGCATGTGAAAAGCTCAGCCCTTTCTTTCTTTCTTACTTAATATCAGTACAGTATAGAGCTGATCTGTTGGTTATTTTTGATTAACTGGTTCGTAAATGGATAGCAAAAAGTCAAAAAGTGCTTAATAGGGAATTTCTTAAAATAATTTGAGCCAGGTGAAGCTGAAACTTTGCTACTAGACAAGTTTTGGGTAGAAGATATTTACAGACAAAGGCTTTTCTTAATTTTAAAATGCTAAAATTATATGTTTTTGGTTAAGTTTTGTCTTAAGTACTGCTCTGAGTAAGTTGTTCTTTCAGCGGATAATCTTTTTTGAGTCTGTGTTTATTGTTATTTCATTAATCTGTTCATCGCTATTAATCTGATTAATCGTTTCAGCCCTAATTTGCTCTTATAAAATTTTTCTTCTTCCTTTGCACCTGCATGTTTCCATTTACCTTTAACTTTTGATGGATTCCCCAGTAAAAGACAATAAAAGATGTTTCTATTTCTGTACTAATTTAATGCAGTGGAGAGAAAAGGTGTTTCAGTTAATTGGAGGAACACCTGCAACTAACTATATTTTAAGGCCACACGTCAAACTCACTTTGCAAATACAAATAAATCTTCAAATACCTTCAATTTTGTAGACATCTCCTGTTGTCTGATAAAACCAAATATAATCACCGTTATATCTGGAGGAAAAACATTGATGCTTGTACCAACATAACTGGGAAGTATGGGGGTGGTGGCATCATGCTGTGGGAGGCACTTCAAAGAATATTATGTGGAAATATTGAAGAATCACCTGAAGACATCAGCGAGGAAGTAAAAGTTTTTCCGCATATTGGTCTTCCAAATGACAATGACTATAAAGTGGCTTTAGAATAACTAAGTGAATGTTTAGGCGTGGCGATCGTAAAGCTTTGAGCTCAAACCTAGAGAGAGTTTATGGGCGTAATCTGAAAATGCGAGTGAGGTGGCCTACAAACTTGATCTAGTTACTCATTTCAGTCAAGAGGAATGGGAAAAACTCTAGCAAACTAATGCGAGAAGCTTGAGGAAAGAAACCCAGAAACATTTTACCTTTACTGAAGAAACGTATATAACCATGTGAATAAAGACATTAATAAATAAATCTCTGACATATTCTTTCTGTCATTATTGTGAGATTTAGCAAATAAAAACAATTTTGACGATTTTAGCAGACCTAAAACAAGAGAAGTTTGGTCTGATTTAACTTCACACAGTGAGATAAAAATGTTTTGGTGTATGTAAACTTCTGGTTTCAGCTATAAATATTAGACAATTAAAACACAAAAGGCAGTGTTTAAATTAAGGCGTTTATTTGGAAGGGGCCTATTGAAATCTGATTTTGAAGGATGTAGAAACTGTAACCTAAGTTTAGGGATGAGACCATTAATCGCGATTAATCACGATTAATCACGATTAATCGGTTATTGAAATAATCATCAACTAATTTAGGAATCAATTACTTGTTAACTGGACTATATAGATTCAAAATAATTCCATTTGCTGAAAGAGCAACACACTCAGACCAGTAATTATGACAAAACTATACATAAACATATAGCTGCAACTGATTATTTTAGTGATCGATTATTTTATCAATTAAAATTCTGGTTCATACTGTAAATATTAGACAAGAAACTAATCAAATGCAGTGTTTAGATGTAGGCGTCTATTGGGAAAGGGGAAAATTAAATTCTGATTTGGAACAATGAAAAACCTGGAATTTGGGCTTTGGGATAAAACACTTAATCCGATTAGTCATGATGAATCAATTATTTAAGTAATCGTCAATTAATTTAGTAATTAATCGTTAACTGGAGTTTTCAGATAAAAATAAAATGTAACCACTTAAGCTTATTTTATACAAGTTTAGAAGTATATTTTTATTTTCATTTCTGTTATTCTGCAGCTTCTACCTTCTCGATACTCTGGTGTCGAACGTTGAGGTAAATATTGTTTAAGCTTTATGCTGATTGTTGTCCATTCTGCATAAATCGATGTATCTGTAGTGACAGAAAAGTGCTGACTGGGTTTGACAAGGAGGAGCTTTATGATCTGATATGTAATCATTTATTTAGTTATGCAACTGGCCCAGGTTTTCCTGTCTAATTATAATATTTGGTGCTTGTTTCACTCATTATTTGGCAACTAACCGAAATGTAAGTTTACTCCAGGGTTGGAATGCTTACGCAACTATAAACGCCCCTTTACCACATGTTTGTCATCGGCTGGCACAGTAACTACAGTATATCTGTGAGTTTCTGCAGCCGGTGTCTGCATGCTACTTTGGCCTGCAGGCGTGTTTCTGCAAGTAGATGGAACAAAACTGAACACCTTCGAAACAGAAAGAAACCACAAGATAATGTAACATAATAAGCAGTCTGGGAAATTGGGTCAGTGTAAAACTGTTGTTCGGACACGTCTCCTCAGGTTGAAACATGACCCACTGATTAGATTTTAAAGGAAAAGTTACAATAATAACATGTTTAGTAACAAATGTTCTCTGGGTTTTCTGTTACTACAAATAATCAGGCCATCATTAAAGAAATGCTATGTTGCATTTTGACAATAAAATTGGACTTTTCTCATATAAAAAGGAATGATCATTTATTTAATTAATATATTTTGAATCTTGCATGAATAAACCTAGGTTAAATGAAAAATCAGCAGAATGTGAAACATTTTTTATTCGATTAATCGTCAGAATAATCAAAAATAATTGTTAGTTACACCCATAAAATGTAAACATTTTTTGTAGTTTTGACTGCTCTGACTATGTTGTTCTTTTAGCAAATGGCATTTTTATGAATCTGTATATGCTACTTAGCATTTAGTTGATTACTAAATTAATTGGTGACTATTTTAATAATAGATTGATCACGATTAATCGTTTTATCCCTAAGCCTAAGTTCCAGTTTTTTCATTCTACAAAGTCAGATTTCAGGTGACTTTAAGATACCAACTCTGTACTGTCAAAGTGTACTGTTTATGTTAGTTTGTTAATCCATTACTAAATTATTTGGTGACTATTTTCATAATAGATTAATCATGATTAATCGTTTTGTCCCTAAGCCTAAGTTCCAGTTTTTGCATTCTTCAAAGTCAGATTTCAGTTGATGTTAAGATACGAACTCTTTACCGGCAAATTGTATCATTTATGTTAGTTTGTTTTGTTTATTTAAAACAAGGACAATGTGAAAAAAAACATTAATAAAAGATGCTTTGTGGCAGATTTAGCTTAAGCTAGTTTCTATCTGTTGTCAGGTGAGATAATGAAACAGATATGATAAAACATACATTGAAAGTCTCCATCCAGTAACTGTACACAGTGATTGCAACCCATCCCCACCGTGAAGAATCACTTTGCAGTCTTCTGTCTCGGGTCGGACTCGGACTGTAATCAGTCACCTATCCCTCACACCTCTCACAATCATTAACCAGCGCTGGCTGCTCTGGGCCCTAAACCAACTGAAACTGTACAGGTTTACAGCTCCTTCATTGATCCACACCTGTGTGACAAAGGTGTGTATTCACCATCAGCTGACTCAGAGTCAGAACAGGACAAAGAACAGTGGGGTTCTGCTTCTATCTGGCCTATTTGCTCAGGTGTGGCTCTGATGTTTTTGTTGGCTAATGATCCGCCGGGGCCTGCTAGCTGATTAGCTAATGAGTTTATGTCCAGTTGCGTTAATAAACTAGCTTTATTTCTCTGAACTCCCAGTTTTCTGAGCCACATGTAAAACAAACTTTAGTTAGGGAGACTCCAGTTATGCATCAACGGAGGCCTCAGTCTGTCCTTCCTGTTTCTACAAATGTTACATCACATGTATTCCCTCGGTTTGTTAAACCTGCGTCTCCTGTTGGACTGCTTCAGTTA